TGTGTGTGTGTGTGTGTGTGTGTGTGTGTGTGTGTGTGTGTGTGTGTGTGTGTGTGTGTGTGTTGGATGGAAGTTTCTAGATGTAGAAACAAATGGATTTTATAGATAAACTTGATTTCACTTTAAATGGTCACTCATATTTGTGTAAAATATTGTAAAACTATTCAATACTGTATAAAGATCAGTTTTTATGTGGTTCATGAGRTCAACATGGCTTCCTGATGCTTCTTGTTCTCAGCATTTTTTTATCTATTTATCACTGCCTGTACAAAAAGTTGCATATCTCTTGTGAATCTGTCCCTCAGTAAATCCTTTGTAGTTGTTTTTTTCTGCAAATGTGCTGTTGGGTTACATTTAGCTTTTTTTTCTTTCATAAAACTCACTTGGAGGATTATCWGTCTCATGAATTTCCTCATAAATGTCAGTCACATTGGATGCAGATATAACCGTTCATCAGTAGTTAAATAGTGGGGTGTGTGGACACGTTTTTGCAACATCGTGGGAGCTATTTTCTGGAAAAGGGCAGCCTTGTGGTGACCAAATGTGCATCGTGGGGATGGAGATCAAAGCCTGGTCACCACGGGTATGAAAGCTAATTTCTGGTGGGGGGTTCGGTTTAGGACCAAAGTGTAAATTGAGTTTGTTAGTTTTAGGGGCTATAGGATTACCAGAAAATGAATGGAARTGGATCCACTGTCCCCACAGGGATATAAAAACAAACCTGTGTGTGTGTGGTGGTGTGGTGTTCAAAACCAGTTTAATTATTCCACATTACTGAGAATTCTTGATAAGTTAGAGCCCAAACGGTGTGACTAGCTGTGTGTCTCCGGTTATTACAGGTTTTGTGTTTAACATTATATAAGCAAAAATCCATCGAAGCACCTTGGAGCCGAACCACATTTGAAACAACATGTCAACGCGTTTGCATGGCTTTGCCTCGATTTGTTTGATAGATGACAACAAGCTGCACGCTTTGCATTCAAGCCTCGAAGCCTGGTTGCCTTGGACATTTCTCCAAGGCAACTCAACCTGTAAAGTTATGTCTTTTACATCTCTTCACCGTAAATACAACTCTATTTCCAGGAACTTGAAGACTCTGGTAATGTGGAAGGAAAACAGACAGCAAGGAGGTTTCTGTTGTGTCTACAGGCAACAACTCCAATACACTTTGTACTGAAGCAAACTAAAAATAACTTCCTCATCCTGTCTGCCATAAAGTTTAAAAACCAACAAAATTTTACAATGAATACAAAATTATTGTCGTCAATGCAGCATTAAATTAAATTTGACAAACTGTTTATACATTTCCTGCTTAAAGTACATACTGTATTTGTAGCATTTATGTGCTGATTTAAAGCCCAGACAATTTTGACCAAAAACAATAAATAAATGTTTACAAAGTCACAATGAGGGTGAACTTTGGCAAATTCTAAAATGTTTGAGTTGAACACTGGGTACAAATTATGATTTAAAAACCAATACAATTTAAAAAGATATAAATCTAAATAAATGGTTAAAAAAACAGAAATAAATAATCTGTCTGAAAATAAAAATTCAGCTTATAATTTATTTTCACTTATTTAATTTGTTTTGTAATAAATTGATGAGCAAATAACTATTTTTTGTTTTTTTCTGCATCCTGTTTACTTTTTGTTTACATA